CCCCAAAACCCCAAAACCCCAAAACCCCTAAGGGCATAACTTGGGTTGAGCCTAAACTTTAAGGGAGATTTAAGCTGCTTTTTTTAAGGGAATAGTGCAGAGGAAGTAATGTGGTTGAGATCATTGGGGTCTTAAGGTGTTTTAGAGGGGGATAGAATTGTGAGGGTGAGGAAATAGAGGTAGGATGTAGTGTGGCTTTTGGATTTTGAAAAATTGATGAGAGATAGAAGAGTTTTTGTCGTTTTAGTGGGTTTACTCCAGTCTTATGCTTATTAGGTGTAGTAATTTAGCTTCTAATTTAAGCGTTTTTCTATAAATTTATTGTGAAAATAAGTGAAAGGAAGATATTTATAATATTGTTTTATTTGATATATTTAGAGAAATTAATATGTCTAAGTAAAACATCTTTTCTTATGTATTTCCTAATTATTTAGGAATAACTTGCTAATTTATGCACTGGATACTCAACGAGGAATAATTTAGGATTCAAATGATAGAATAACGTTTATGGTCATTATAAAGGAGCCTGTGAAACAAATAGTATGACTGGGCTATCTCATATAATCCCATAATATCTTATGAGTTTAAAATTCAGCTTAGCTTATAAATTAATTTGATAGATTCATGATTCATATAAATTGTATAATTTAGTCACTACATTGTCTATCTAATAGCCAATATTAGGGAGAAGAAGAGAGTGCTCAAGCTGAGTTGTTTAATTATTACTAATAGCTATTTAGACTCATAAATCTGACTCGTAACTCTTAAGAGTTTCAGAAGATCAGGAAGGACTATATTTTATAGTACGGAAATTAATGCTGTACATAATTATTCACAGTCTTTAAACTTAAAGAGAAAAATATTTAATAATTTATAAATGGTCGACACTTTTTGCTCATTCTTGGATGAAACTGGAAGTTTCAGTTAGCCTAAATTTTTAGCCTTACTGAGATAAAATAGTCCGGATTGCTTTAATAAGAAATCATTAGTCAAGATTAACTTTCGAATATCGAAAATTCTCAGAATTTCTCATCTTAGAAAGATTGGAATTCTGAAGTAAAACTGGCAATCTCTAGGAACTTAGGTAAATATAAGAAATGTTTTACTGGGGCTGATAATAAAGTTCAGAAATAGTACTCCGGATACATTGAGTTTTTCAATAAGATAGGCTATCCTCAAATTTGGGAAGTATTTATCGACTCCCTCTGCACTTATATAAAACCTATATTACGTATGTGCATCGATTCGGAGTTAAGTCCTAAATAATCGGTTTATCTCCAAAAAGTTTACTACTTTTTCATCTATAAAATTTAAGGGCTGATAAAGACTGAAGAAGGTCCCTTACCCATGCTTTCTTATAAGAAGGTTGTAATCATGAAGAAAGTGTTTGGAATTTAAAGTGATTTAGTGATTCATGATATAATTTTTATAATTTCAAAAATCTCTACTCCAGTCAAACCCTTAGAAACTTTAAAGCTCTTAGTGGAATAGGTGCCTGATTTCCAAAATGGCGGATGAAAAGTGAGTCAGATTAATTGGGTTATTAATTAGAGTTAATGATGTTAATTATTGTGCCTTTTCGATCTCTCTCATCGTCACAGGCAGCAAGCGAGCACACTTCTTTGGCTTAGACTCTTTAGCATTTAGGTTACAACCAACGCCCTTTGGGGAATGGCCTCTGATTTTTATGGCTTTTTGGAGAAGCTCTTTGATGTCGCATTGCAACTTTGATGGCTTAGGAAGCTCTTGTGATGCTAATTTTTTTAGAGGCAGCACTTTGTTAATTTTCTTCAGAGCTTCTCCTTTCACTTGTTCCTCATGGCAAGCTTGGTCCATAGTTAAAATTTCGCTAATCGATGCTCCATTAGCCTGGAATTTATCCTTACATCTAGGGTTACTGTGAAAAGGAGATTTTGACATGTTCTTATCAATATTTAGACTTCTCTTCACACATGATACTGAAGCATTTTCATCCAAGAATTCCTCACACAAGTTTTCATTGGAATCGTATATATTATTCATTTTATTTATTAATGATACTCAACTCTTTATCTTTATATGGGGTTTTGGGGTTTTGGGGTTTTGGGG